CGGCTCGGCGGCCGCAGGCGGCGCACGGGCGCTTCACTCCTCACAGATTCACTTCTCGCGCCGACCAGCAGACACGTACGCGTACAGAACGGCGCTCTGCTTTTCCCCCGAAACCGAAGACTGAGTCTTGTCCACCACCCAGAACGAAACACGGGGCCTTGTCAGACTCGAGTGTGGTCGCACATCACCCACCCTCCCGGAAGCAGCCGGCCAGCGGCATCTCCAGCGGCGGCCGAGGCCAGCGCGGCCTGCGTGCGGGTGACCGGCCGGGCCGGGCATCACGGGAGCGCTGTCAAGAGGAGGCTCGGGCCTCGGGAAGGAATCTTCGCAGCGGTGAATAAAGACAGCAAACCGCTTTCAAAGTTTTTTATTTGGTGTTAACTCCACAAGAAAACAACAACAAAAAAAAATCAGTTACTCCGGTGTACGTGAAATCAGAACAATACAACCACGGGAGAACCCCGGCCGAGCAGTGAGCACTGGCCTTCCGGGCCAAGGGTCTGCAGCCCGCCTCACTCCACAGTGCGTCTCGGCGTCTGCCGACTTTTTAGGAAACACTCTCTCTGTGTGACCACTGCCACAAAACTCAAACCACTCTCAACTCTGCCACCGAAGCCCCTCGGCTTCAGCCCCTTCGCCAGGAAAACAAATAAATACAGAACCCGCTCGTCCCCTCGCCCGATGGACCCCAGGCCCGGCCTGCCCCCTGCGGCGGCCGCGCCCCCAGCGGGCCTCGGGGTAACAGCAGCTGTCCCAAATCAACTGAGCTGAAGGTTGTGTCTGATGTATGTTTATTTGGTCTTTGCTACATAAGCAACGATTTCTAAGCTGATCGTCACTGTAGTGATTTTAGGAATTTACAACTTCCAATTCTTTTTTGCCTTTGCTGTTAAATTATATTTCAGTGCAGATGCTAATCAACGTTTAGGAAGCTCCAGAAGAAAGAAAAATACGTAAAACCTTGTAAAGTCTGTAAATAAATAAGAGCAACGTAAAACCGCACACGCGCGCACGCACACACACCCGCTCCAAAGCGTCAGACGTGCTGCCGCGGACAGGCCCGCGGCCGGCCGAAGGACGCGGCCACAGAGCCCACCGCCGAGGGCAGAGCGTGGCCTC